ACTCTTCCATTTTCCTTTGCCATTTCCCTCCCCCTTGCTTTGACTAAAATTTAACCACTTGTCTGTTGGGATATTGGCTGGTGGCTTGAAGGTGACTTGTCGATTTAATTTGGGGTGTGGGCTATCTGCCCTCTTCGAAATTCCATTTGCGTTGGTTACATGCCTCTCCCTACTACTCCTTTGATTGTTCTAGCCTTGAGCATATGGAATTCTTCCAAATGCTTCAGCTGCCTTTCTATCATAAACAGTGCTACACCATGGGCACACTAAGACTTCTGATCCTGTCTTATGACAGTGAACCAGAAAACCCATCAAGCTTTCTCCCATTCTTGGGTATGGCAGCAACTCCTTATCACTCCTCCAGTTGTTTCCACCCCTCTCTTGGTACACTTTCAGGTATGTTGTCGCAGTGCCCCGATCATTCATGATGTTGCACCTAGGACACATTAGTCCTTCAGGATTCTTCGTATGACAATGAAAAAGATATTCGACTAGGGTTACTTTTTGGTGCTCAATTCACATATTGTCATTCTCCATCTTCAAACGTCTTTCGATCTCCCCCATTTCTGGGGGCAGCTGGTTCAGATCCACCATATTTACTTTGAACTTGAAACCTTCATCAATCTCAAGCTCTTCGAATCTAACTCTAAGACCCTCAATAGTCTTGGCCTTGCCAGCAAATTTGGCATTGCCATCAGTAGCATTGCCTTATTTCTGGCCCATGAGACCCTCAATGACTTCTAGCCCCTGAATATCTTATGATACCTTGTCATCATCGAGTTGACCTCCTTCGATTTTGACAGCATCAACCATGTTGATATCTACAGGCTCTACAAAGTTTGTCTCAGCAATCTGAAGAGGATTCGTGTCGACCTTCATCAGGTTCTTGGGATTCTCTCTGAACTTTAGCATTCCTTCCTTGATATCACTCTGTATCAAGTCCCTGAAAAGATAGCATTGTGAGGTTTTATGGCCTAAGAAATTATGATACTTACAAAAGCCCATTTTCTTTCGTTGTTCTAACGGAGGAATTTTAGCACCAGGAGGCACTATCATCTGGCCATCTCTCACTAACAAATCAAATATTTTGTCACACTTGGTGATGTCGAAAGTATAGGTTTTCTTTGGGAATTTGTCATTCCTTTCTGGTTCGACGGGATTTTTCCCGTTCGCAGGCGTTAACACTTTGCAAGGATATGGTGGTCCTTGCTTTAACTCTGCAAGATCTATCTCGTGTTCTTCAACCTCTGAAAAATCATCTTCGACATCTCTTTCATCTGATCAGGCTTCGATATAAGCCATTTTTTCTTTCATGTGGATTTTATTAGCCCTTGCTTTTTCGATCTTCAAACGCTCCACCTGTCGAACCTTGTTAGCCAATTGTGCCATATCTCTTAGATACTGGGGATCTAACTTATTCCTGATAGAGAAGTCCAATCCTCTTGCTGCCATTTCGACCAACTCGTGTTCAGGCACCTGTGTGAAACATCTTGCCTTCAACAGACGAAACTTGTTAAGATACTCGTCTATAGGCTCGCTGAATTTGCGCTTAACGTTTGCCAATTTATTCAGGCTGATTTTGGTTTGACCTATATAAAATTGTTCATGAAATAATCTCTCTAAACGAGTCCAATCATGGATGGAATTCGCTGAAAGAGTGGTAAACCAAGTAAAAGCATTTTTGGTTAGTAAACTAGGGAAATACTCAATCCTTAGATTCTCATCATTTGCTATATCCCATGCTTCTGTAAGATATCTAGCAACATATTCTATGGTTGACTCACTGGTGTCACCAGAAAAAGTTGTAAATTTCGGCACTTTCCATCCCCTAGGAAACTCAGATTGTTGGATGTATTCAGACAAATGAGATATATAATTTGGCCTTCGCATGCCAATATTCACTCCACTTCGTGTCATGATTCTTTCGACTATGGCTTCTAGATTATTATTTCCTAGCATATCATCTTGTCGACATCCTTGGAGAACTTCGTCAGCATCTTGGTTGTGATTCACCATGACTACCCTTCTTCGTGGTTCCTCCCTGGGAATAGCCTGTTGAAATCTGGGTGATTCTTCCCTTCGAACTAGTTGTTGAATCTCGACTTCTGGGTGTATTACTGGTTGGGCCTGGTCAATGGTTGGTTCTTCTAAAAACATGATGCCTTGATTCTACCTTATCCATGTAGGTTGTGGTTGTCGAATTGGTTCTCTGGATGCACCAAATAAATCTGCAAGGCGCCCAACTTGTGCTGTCATTTGTTGGTTTGCTTGGGCATTCTGCAAGTTCGTCTGTGTGGTGCTTTAGATTAAAGAGTTAAAAATTGTACTCATTTTCTGGGCGAGTACTCCCACCATTTCGTGGTTACTATCATCCATATGTTGCCTCAAGACTGCCTGCATATTTGTGGTAATAGGAGGCAATTGAGAAACATATCCGAGCTGCGAATTATTTCGTGCCATATGGTTTACCCCTAAACCTGATCCTTGTAATGGCGAAAAGGCAGATGTTAACGGACGTGTATATGTCGAAGTGTTATTTTGAAGTCCTACCATGAACGAAGTTGGCATGCCATATATTGGATCTGATGTTGGGATTGTGAATCCTTGTGCATATGTTCTAGAGACACCGCCTACTAAAGGTTTGGGGGTCCCTGATGGATTTTGACTGGCCATAGACATTATAAAATATTCATTTTGTGTGTTTGATAAATATGGTTGGAGCATTTGTATTTGGGGGTATGACTGTAGCGTTTGTAGTCAAGGGAATAATCATAGTCCCTTGACTTGTTGCCATGGCCTCGCTTGTATTCGAAGCACTCGTATTCCCTCTTGTGGGAGGAGGAACTTGTTGTGCATTGCTAACGGGTGGGTTACCCATTTTCCTATTGTATTGCCTTTTTGGTATAGGATCTGTGGTATTGGCTAATTTTCCACTTCTTAATCTCATACAGCAAACAAGCTAGGAAACACATATTATCGAAGAAAAACTAAATACTAGACACAGCGTCCCACTGGACGTGCCAATTTGTTTACCCTGGAATTTGGTAAACACTCGTTGATCCTCCAAATCCTTTAACAGATTCAGTTACTCATGAGATCGATCAGATTGATCTCGGAACTATTGTGTTCTATTATTTAGAAAGCATATTTTGATGATAATCTGTTTAAACGAAAGGAATCACTTCGTATGTCGAAGTGAAACTTCTTTATAAAAGTAATAAAATGTAAACTAGTCTAGACTGGGAATTGTAAAGAACGTAAATAACGTAAAGAATCTTTATTGAATGTAAATGACATTGAATATAAAATATGGTGTATCATACGTACATTCTTGTTAACTCTTTTCTCGAACACTAGTACTTTGAGTACTTTGAGTATTTTATACAAAGATGTGAACACACCCTATTGAAACACAAAAAACTACAATTTATAGAACTTCGACCCTAACGGTCTTCTAACAAACTAATGTCACGTTTCCGCTGGCATGTCTTCGACAATCCAAGAGACTCCACGCGTCCTTCTGGATAAGAATGAGTATTCGAATTCAAACCTTTCGCTATCCGTCTTGAGTGCCAAAATCTGATAACGGTCGAAGTATAAAGTCTTAAACCATATTTCGAATAATAACTTTATTTCACAATTCGAATTATGAACTATCCATCAATCTCTTAATGGATTTTGAATTCGAATCTTCATGGCTTTTAACAAACAAAAATAGCCAAACAATTCTCTAAGTATATTCAGACCATTGACTCAACTCAATTTCTCTTTAGTCGAAATTTTCAATCAACAGATGTATATAGTTCATTGATTATTCTATTGTTTGATTAGAGTAAAGACTTTTATTTTTAGATTGAACAACCATTTTAATCTAAATCAATTTGTAAATTTCTTAATCCACCCCCATGATTTTCTTACGCACCACGTAAAATTTCATAAATGTCCCTCAAAATCGAAAGTATAATTTCGGTGCACACCTAAATCTGATAATGTATACATAGAAACCGGAAATTTAATTCGAATCTGGAAGCAGGGATGTATTTTCAATTTTATTCTTTAGAGAAACCAGAAAATATTATTGAATTGCATCATAATTTCAAATACAATTCAATCCATACAACCGAAATTATACTTCCGAATATATATGAAATGTCAAGGTACAAGAAAATTCATTCTTCCAGCTGATAGAACTGGAAACAAAATTTCAATTTAGAATCAAAATTATACCTCCGGTGCCATTTTTTACATTTTAAAAGGTGAAACCAATTTGACCTGTTTTATGCAAAATATAATGCAAAGGGGACAATTTTAAAATTACAGTGTCCATTTTCCATATGGGTGGTGGGGTAAGAAATTTTTGTTAGATAATGAAACATTATTTTTCAAATAATTCGATATACTTTGCTTCCGTCTGCCATCTGCGCATCATTTTGTTAAACTCTAATTTATTTATTTTTTAAGTTTTTGAAAATGCTTTAAGGGAATATGTCTATTTAACCCTCCTTCTTAACCACCCAATCATAATATTCTCCACCAACACTCACCATATGACTTCATTTGATTGGCCAAGAATAAATCTGCAACTGCCTCACAATCATTCATCTGTGTTTTCGTATTGTTTCCTCAAAGATGACAACTTTACCTTCTTAAATTTCTTAACATTTCATACAATTTCTCTAGTGTATCTCACCCACCGTTAGTTGTTTCTTACTCAATAATCATCTAAAAGATGTTCGGATCCACATATTAATGGATCAAGAACAAGCCTCTCTTATCTCTCTTTCTCAATTCACAATGAACAACCTTTTGTGAATCAATTGTATTGTCTTCAAATGCAGGAAATATTTACCGTCAACTAACAATTTACATGTCATGATATTGCCAAAAAAGACTAGCTTAGAAATCGATTAGCAAGCACCACAAAAGACACTTTCTTTTTGCTTCACGTGGAATTGATTCTGGACAGTAAAATTGATTGCTCATGAAAAAACCAACAATGATCATGATACATTCTTCAGCTTCTTTTTGGCCTCTACGAATGAAGCAATATAGGATCGCTTGGATTCGATTTCTTTCAACTCCTTCTCCAAATCTTCAACCTATTTTATGTCAGCAACAAGAACAAAAATAAATAAATCATTGTCATAAGAATCAAACTTTATTCTCTAACTACTATTACCGTCTTTCTCAACTCTGCTTCTTTTTGCCTGTGCTCCTCACACCTGTAGAAAAGGGTTTTAGAGGAATTTATTTATTCATCAGTAAAACTAGTAAATAAGATATCTTAATGGAGCATAAACCATTTAATTAATTTGAAATTTCTTTTATATGATATGGATGACATACATATCCAACATAATAGTAGATCTAATGAGAAAAACGTCTAATCATAGGATCATAACCCATATATATGTACACATCTATAAAAGATAATGACCGCAATTAGGAGGCCATAAGATTAGAAATATTGACCGCAATTAGGAGGCCATATGGAGACGGAACAGGTCATGGAAACACTACTATTCACCTCGAACCCACCCTGTTTATATCAGTTTGTACTTTATTATTTAGTTTTGATAATTTGAAATATTGATTGTATGGTGAATTTTGGTGTAATTATTTGAAATGCTTGTTTGAATTTTTTTGAGATTGTTTTACTACTATTTGTAATGTAATTTGATTATAGGAAAAAAAAAACTATTTCTATTAAAAAATTGATTTCACTTCATGGATGAGGGTGGGGCGGGGATACCCGATCCCTTTAGGACGGCTTTGGGATTCAATTCTTCATCGCCGTCGGGGATTGGGGCGGGTAACGAAGATTGATCGGAGATTCAGATGTGGGTACATGAAGGTAAAAAACATTTCCGACCCGCTTCGTTGCGAATGCCTAAATAAGTGGTTGATGAATATAGCAAAATGTCACAGCACAGGAACTAACTCAACATAATTAACCAAAATTTTGAACTCATGACAAACAATTTATAGGTTTTCAAATATAATTCATTATAACCCTCTAAATTGTGTTCAAATATAAACATCGAAAATTATGGTTAATGACATTTAAATTTGTAGTTAATTGTGTTATGTGAATAGTCAATGGGTTGTAACACATTGTTAGTTATATTCATTAATCGTCACTAAATGTGATTAACTATGAGTTTGAACTGCATCAACCTACCAAATTGTTCTCGACTTTGTCACAAGTAGGGTAAGTAAAAAAACATTAAGCTTTTGGTAGGTGTTTAGTACACCCATTAAGGGAGGGAATTGATCAAGTGTTTTAAGTTCCTTACACTGAAGAAAAGGGTATGGCGTGTTGATAAACTTAACAAGGATTGAAAAGTTGTTTTCCTGAAATATTTCATCTAGAAAAAGGAGTTACCTCGTGAAAAGTTTGATATTTTCTTCACAGATTTCATCAATAGATCTGGACGCTGAAGCTCCACTCGATACACCCTGTTGATAAAAACAACACATTAGTCATGATCCCCCAAAAGTACTGTACTCACTCGAATTCAATTTAAAAAGAGAACCATTAATTTTCAACAAATCCTTGCATGGGTTGATAAAAATACGAATTCAAAATAACTACTTCCTCTTTCCCAAAGTAACTGACCTAGTTGATCATTTCACAAACATTCACAATAAGATGCATCTACTTGTGTCAAATAAATTATTTTAAAAAATGATAAAGAAAGAAATATATATCACTTCACATCCAGAAGCAAGAATGTCTATAGGTGGTAAAATTAGACAAGTACGGCCTTTTGCAGATTACATCAATTACTTACACACTGCTCATGAGTCGAACTCCGCTTGCCGGTTGCAAGAAAACCCTCATTTGGCTGATCTAATTCTAAAACTTGGTGCTTGGCTGTTGAGAAAATATCTTGTGGATCAGCAAGAGACTCATCCCGTGAATTAGTTAAATGCCCAGCTGATTGTCGAATTTGTGGTTTATAACCTATAGGCTGATATCCAACTAATTCACAGTGACCCTTCCTGTTTATAGTCCAGAAAACATTTCACCAAATCAAACATTGTCAACATCATAAGATGGAAATTCTAGAAAAGAAATATCAGGAGGAAGCACTTAATTTTTCACATAATGCAGTCCATATTATTGGCAATTTCCCATAAATAATATGTTAGCAACAGACCTCCAATTAAGAAGACTTGTGAGGCGCAAATACAACAATGCTGGACCAACTTAAGTATACTTGCAACTTGTAACTGCCTATTAATTGTATTTGTAACTGCCAAAAATTATGACTGCAGGTGGGGTAACAGCAGTCATAAATTTTATAAGAGGGTTCCCTTGGGAAGTTAGGAAGGAAATTATTGAATTTCAGACTGGTGGATATTGGGAGAGAACGGGCTTTTGAACATCCTATGTCTTTATTGTAGTCTGTTTTATTTCATTTGACAATACAATTATTCTATATTCTGTGAGAGTGTAGATTTAAATTATATTGGTTCTATCAAATGGTATCAGAGCTGAGGAGAGGCAAGTTCCCGGGAGAAGAAAGTGTTCGCATGATAGAAGATAAGATTCAGAATGGGGTAGCAGACTGTAGTGCAACAAACTACGGGAAATGCCACATAAAAACCTGATGTGAATGCGGCAGCGAAGTCTGCGACTCAATTTCACGCTGAACCACCTCGTGTGTGGCCGGCTAGCCCCGCACTGCTCCACCACTATAGTACAGAGAAATGCCACTATTTACAACCTAGAATAAAATTGAAGTCACAAACCCTGTAACTAGTTACTCACCATACAGTAGTCATTAAGACAGCTTACTGAAGCAGGCAAGAAAATCGGAGAACTAAGAAAATATAAAACTCCAAGAACATTTAACAGTGGGTTTTAGATAAAAGGCGAGAAATAATCACAAATTTGAACGTTTTTGATAATAACTTGATAGTAACTTGATTCAAAAGACTAAATATGTGTCCCTATTTTTAGGGATACAAAAGTTATAATCCTAAATAAATAGGAAAATCAGAAAACAAATCATATAATAACTAGAATGTAATCTAGAAACAAATCCTAGGACATTACCTAAGATACTTCTAACATTAGAAACTAGTCCTAAACCCCAGGAGATAAACTAAGAATTTCCAATAAAATATCAAATCTATTAAGATATTTCATTTATTCTAATAAAAAGAAAATCTAAATCTAAGGGCTTCTTTACTTGGAAAAATTGTTTTGTTTGCATTTCATGCTTTTACTTTGTTACAAAACAGTCACCTTGTTTTCTATCGTTTTGAAAGATTAGTACAGGAAATACTGAAAACAGTTTTTTTTCCTTCATTACTTGTTGTAGAAAACTTTAGTAACAGAAAATAGATTGCATAAAAATATAAAAGAAACAGATGATTGATTGAAAAAAAGATGGTAGTTTTATAGTCAATGTGAAAACAGAATAAAAATAGAAAAGGCTTTTTCAAAGTAAGCAACACTTACAACATTTTTCCAATAATACCATATGCATAAACCGTGGAAACTGATTAGCCAACACAAGAACAGTCACTATGACTGCTTATCGAAATAAGCAAGTGAATTAAGAAAGCATGGAAGAAAAATAATTCTATAATGCATCATTATGGAAGCATTAGGAAAAATCAACTACTACTAGTAATGAAGTACAACATTGAATTTACAACACCACCCTCATTAGAGCATAAAAATGTAATCGTAGAGCAAAATAAAAGAAACGGTTCAAAATAAACTAAGTATAAACAAACCAGTAATCATTTATCATTTGTTTCAGCTTCGCTTCTAGCCGTATGAACAGCAGTGATCTCTCAAAATCTTGCTTGTCATGTGCAGGTTCTATAAAATTGGCTTCCAGAACTCCTAAATATGTACTAGTAAATTTAAAAACATGGATATTTTGAAGTTCTTGCATAAAGAAATCAACGGGGGAGGATAAGAACATACCAACAACACCATTCCCTTTAGAAGAACCATCTGGGCTTACTTTCCAAAAAGGCTGCATTCTCAAAAAAAAAGGTTAACCACATCAGATCAGAATAGTACTCAAATAACATTAGCGAACAAATTTCTATTCCAATTGTACTTCTTAACGGAACATCGAAAACTTCCCCAAATCAAGTTTATTAAGTAAAACACTAAAAATCAGCAAAGCTAAAATAAAATTAAAAAATGAGATTTGTGAACATCGAGACGAAGAATACATTTTTTGGTCGAATACTAATGGTGGTAAGATCATACAGAACCTCTAAATGATAGTGTTGTTCTACCAAATCAAGCCTGGTGACATAAGGCCATACAATAGACAAGGCTGTGTTTGTTTTCATCAAGGAAGGAATAATGCACCACCAATAAACAAAGGAAAAATGCACCACCGAAGTCAAATGCCGCAATTAAGGCGACTAGAAGCGGACCGCAATTAAAGTGGAAATTCCAACACACCTTAATTCATGTGAAATGACCAAAACATCGTATAATATGGGACGGATGGATACTAATTTATCGTGATCATAGGATATTTATTTGTTATATTTAGGACCTTTATTACCAAGTAGAGAAGAAGAGGGGATTTGTAATCCTAACCATTTCCTTTATCATAAATTTTAATCAATTTTATTTCTCACTTCAAATTCAAAATAATTCTCAAACAAAACCCTCAATGTATTACAACTATGATTATAATTGTTTCATTCGAAACTAATCACAATTCATGTGGATTCAAACTTTATATTATTTGAAAGAAATTTGGTACACTTGCCAATAAGTGTGATTTATTATAACGCAGAGCACTAGCGACATCACTACTCCGAAAAGGAAAGGGTAGACATTTAGATACTATAAAATGAAAATATCCTGCCGATTTTTTTAAGAGGTTTTATATTTTATGTTTTCTAAACCCCATGTTGTTGAAGAAGGTTGTATTATTACCTTAAAGTTCCAACGGGAGATTTTATGGAAAAGAAACACTCAAAATGAATAACAACCCATATCTAAAGAAGGCTGCACAGTACAGCTAGGAACATAGACATCCAAACAAACTAAAGCAAATCAGGAAAACTGAAATAGACTCTATCAAGAATAAGGATATGGAAACAGGTATGATTTCAAAGCTAATAAGACACAAGTCAAATGCTACTTCCAATTTACATGAACACAATATACATGAATATATTTTTTTTATTTCCTCTCCTACTTCCAACATATATAAGAATGGTGGTTTGCTGTATGAAAAAAGAAATAAAAATATGCATGCTAAAATGCAGCTGAAGTAAATAAAATTTGAGATAAGGCAATTCAAGCAATCAAAAGTTGGAACATACCTTGATTAGGCGATTTTTGTGGTATACATTAAACCCAGAAACATTAATAGCAGGAAACTCCTTTATAAATCCAATGGTCGTCTCCACCGTAGCCTAAATCAGACAAAACTCTTTAGTTTTAAAAATAAACTTTTTTCTTAATTAGTTAAACGTTTGCAGGGTGATAGGATACTAGACAAATAATTATTGTTTGTTATTCATAATAAAACACTATATCTTCTTCTGATACTGACACAAAAGAAAATCAGTAGAACAAAGAAAAAGATGCACTGAGTATGGGGTAAGGAGGGAAACAATGCAAATCTTGGATCTTCTCCTCCCAATCCTTTCATCACTCTAAATCATCTACTCTCTCCTCTCATCTATCCCCCTTTGTATCCACTAATCAAACGCTTTTTACTTCCTCTCTCAGCTAACTTCTCAATTTCTGCTTCTGCTGCATGAATATTCATCAGAATTCCCACATTGCCCTCCTTAGTTCTTACCCATGTGATACCTTTCTTCCCCATTCTCTCTTACACTAATGCCATTCCACTGGTTAACAAATCTAGATAATTAGACTTGAGTTGTCTCTGATAGAATAATCCTCCTTTTGTGAGCTGAAATTCCTTGATTTAAGGGCATACATTGATTACAACCTAATTACTCACGGATCTTTATACTAATTGATGTGCCTTCCTAAAATAACGATCAGATTCCCAAACTAACAATTCTATAATTCTTGATGTAACGTCTGGACCTAAAGATCCATACAAAAAGGTTTTCTATCATGCATATTTCTGTTTAACTATTATTAAATGATCTTTCATTTATGAGTAATATCTAGCCACTTTCAACATAATGCTGCATAAAATTGCTTTAAATGATTTATATTGTCATATTATTGATCTAACCACATGTGCCGCAGCCAGCTGGGGCTTGTAACTAATAATTTCTGAATGTCTTAAGTCATCCATAATGTCAACATGGTCCACAGGTTTTCCCCTTAGTATGATTTTGAAGTTCGGAAATTTTCTGAGATACAAAAGTGAAACATATGCCTGAAAAATATTAACTGTCAATGAGAACAGAGATTAAATATTAGAAATCAATGGTAACATGTATAGCAGAAATTCCAAGTATTAATCATTACCCGTAAAGAGTAACGGATGCGGTAAGAAATATGCGACTGAAGCTGAACAACTTTTTTGTTCAACTTCTGCCCAGTTCCATGCTTGGCCTCATCTCTCAGCATGATATCCTGTGCAGAAGAGAAAATCAGATCATGATTGCAATAAAAATAAAATATTGAACAATATCAAGTATAGAAAATTTAGAGTAATAGCACCCCAAGCAGATACATACACCCCCAAACCACACACTACCTTAGACACGTGTGAACAATTCCAAACTAGCTAAATATGTGAACAGCACAGTTACCTCAAAGGCAAGTTATGTACTTTCTAGAATCAAGTATGACAGAATGATAAAATTGGCCAAACCTGGCACTTGGTATCACTAATTTAATGCATTGACATAAATAACCAAGATGTGTAAAGTACATAATAAATGAAAGTGTAAAATCACTACAACAAAAACCAAGTCGGACCACCCCACGGGGCACGTCACCAGATGATTAACCATGCGCTCTCATGCACCGTTGTCTCAATTGTGGGTTGCAGCCTGTTTACAGATTGTTTCCAACAATTTTTTTCTCGTTGTGCTCGCCTGAGTGATTCCAACAACAAGGCTGTCCGTGTTCCATTCTAATCAATTTTGGTTCTGACTAGTTCCACTATTTTGCCGTCTTTCCAGCACTGTTTTGATTCCCTTCATTTTGCTGCCATTTATTTTTACTTTAAATGACTAGTTTTGGTTTTCGGAGACGATCATCCACATCCAAACCTCATGCCAAATGTAACTATTGTAAATTTTTGGGACATACTATTTTTCTGCACTGGGAACTGCATGATCTTTCTCCACCTTCTCGAATTGATTCAGCTGACACTATTTCAGACTACAGATCCTCCTAAGGCCTCGAATTGATTCATCTGACACTATTTCAGACCATGGATCCTCCTAAGGCCTCTCTAGCTACTTATGAAGATTTTCCCTCGGTGGATAAAGTTTCTACAGAACTCGGGATTTGTTGTTTCGGTTGCACACACCGGGAATCATTTTCTTGTATCTCTCAATCACCTTTTCCTTACCTCATGAATTATAGATTTGGGTGTCTCACAACATTACTAGTAATACTATAATAAGGCTTTTTTTCTCCTCCCTCACTACAACTGGTTATTTACCTAGTGTAGTCTCAGCTAATGGTCTTGAAACACAGTCCAAGGGATTGAGTGGCACTATCCAAATTCTCTTTTCTCTTTCAGTTACATCTGTCTTCTATGTGCCTAGACGTCCATGCAGTTTGATTTCTATCAGTCGGTTGACTCATTCTCACGAGTCATACTTGTGTAGTCACTTTTACTAGTGGCAATATTACTTTGTAGGATCGGATTTCATAACAGCAAATTTGTATCGAATGTGAGTCTAATGGCCTTTATCATCTCTCAAACTCACCAATGGTGTGCACTACCATAGATTTCCCTCTTAGTAGACATGCTAAGTTGGGTCACCCAAGACGTCTCAAACTTCAAAGATTGGTTCCTCGTCTTTCCAAATTATTTAGTTAGCATCATGAGTAGAGTCAGCTAGGGAAACACACTCTTAGTCATTTTCACAATCGAGTCAATAAACGGGTTTCGTCTCCCTTGGCTTTAGTTGTTAATTCTAATGTTTGGGCCCCATCCCATACTATCTCCTCTTTTGAGTTCAAATATTGTTGCTTTTAGTGATGATTTTTTCCATCGCACGTGGTTATATTTAATGAAAAATAGATTTGAATTATTCTCTATTTTAAAGCAATTTTATCATGAAATTAAAACTCAGTTTGGTGTGTCTATTTGGTCTTTGCATAGTGGTAATGCCAGAGAATAAATGTCCCATACTCCCATCAATTTCAAATTGTATTGCCTCTAATGGCCTTCAATAAAATATAATCTGCAAATCATGTGGCATGGAGATCATGGAAGTGAAAAAACATCCCTCATTTTACAAGTCAATTTTGTAACAAGTTAGCTCCAATAAATATAAAAAACCTAATAGTATACTAATTAATTTGATTTCTTATTTTTATAATCTATTTGATTTGATTTATATCAAGAGTCAGGCTATAGTGAGCATGAAATTATACTAGTAGTAATAAACCAGCTTCTCCTTACTTGTTAAGTATAAATAGGTACAAGTGATTTGTAAATCAAACACATCGTATCAATATAATATTAACGAGAACTTTCTTTTTGTTTTCCTACTTCCTACCCAAAACTTGTAATAATTTCAATACATATTAACCAAGATATTTTTTGAAAATTTTCCTCATCCAATAAAGAATACCTGAAAATACACTTGAAAAAACCTGCAAATGATAAAGTTCATATAGTAATAAATATATAAATATACACAACATACCTCAGCATCATCATCAAAACTCAATTCATATATTCCTTCATCATTCAACCACAAATTATATATTAAAATCTTGGTACCATGTGATCCTATATCCTCAAACTGAAAAGTGTAAAAAAAAATAACAGATCAGTAAAGAGTCCATGGCTAACATTTCGAAGGAAAAAACGAGCTATCAATAGCTCAATTACATTTCATTTATTGCATATTTCATTATAAGGTGATTCACATGCTAATGCTTTGACCAGTGGCCCAACAGATAATGTCATTATTATGAGAATTGATGTTAGCATAATACGAAAAGAAATCGATATAGACCCCATAACGGTAAGTAACTGTCAATTTATCTCTCACCGTAAAATGAAAAAGAAAAGAAAAGATTTGCTCTGAACCATAAACATCGTTGACATGCATATGAATGAAATTCCCTGACTAGCACATAGCCATATAGTGCCACAGTCCATCATGCATCAGAAATCGATAAAAGAGGCTAATGTGAAACATTAGGCTAGAATTCGGGGAAAATGCTTGGAGCTTAACTCATCATTGGTTGAGGTTCCTATGTCACAACAGTTGATTAAGGATAACATTAGGTATTTTTCTTCTCTTTGAAGAAAAATCACATGATTTTTTAAGGGAGTTGGCCTGACAGAAATATTGGGGGACTGAGAAACTCTGCAACATTCATGTTTTCTATTTTCTTAGTTGTTTTGTATTAGACAATTAGTTCAGGATTATTCCTTATATTCTATCGTAATATCTTTTCTCGTCTTAATGAAACAATTTAATCAAAAATTAGAAAGGTTGCATGTGGAGGAAACTCACAGATAAAGAATGAATGGGAGCAAAGTTTGGACATTGTGACTAATAAATTACTCATGTGACACTTCTCAAGCCTAAGTTCTTTTCTAGAGGCAAATAGCTTGTAGAAATATTGCCAAAACTGATAATATATGTCCTGAAAATTGATTTACTTTATTTCAAAGAGGTAACCTTCCATGGGTATTTTTATTTGGTGAAAAGATTTTGTGGATAAACAATAGAATGCAATAAACCTGAAGCATGAGCTCGTCCTTGGATGTGAAGGGAGACCAATCAAGAATTGTTTTCAAGTTTGATGACCAATCGTCCAGTGAGCCATAAACAATTGGCTCGGGCCAATGGCCAGATATGTCAAAATCTATCTGCAATGAAAATGATATTTTGCATATAAAAATTAAGTAGAAAGCATTCACTGTTACATATTTGAACATTTGACTAGGATAATTACCATTGGAATGATTACATCATCTTGCCCGGTTTTTCGTAAAAAGGTATAGGATAGTAGACCTACACTTTGTGTTGGCCGGCTGAAGGATAGAAGTTAACCATTTAAAAGGATTAAATCTTATCAACAATTATAAATAAAAAATTCAGTTACAGAAGATAACATATTTACATATAAATTGGATACAATAAAAGGAAGTAGCCCGAATGGAAAATATGTTGTCAAGAATACTAACATCGCTCTACACATAATACATACATAAGAAAACTAGAAATGCATATACAAAGAACTAAATACCTCAAGAAAACAAGCCATACCCTACATATTTGCTGTTTTGTTTCTTTATTTATATGCACCAATGATTGCAAATTGCCTATCAAACTGAAGGGTAAATTTTATCGGACCCCTATAACACCAGCAATATGATCGCAGAAATGTTAAGAAGAAAAATGGCAACAAGAGTTTGACAGTTAAGAGTGCCCAAGATGAGAATGGTGTGGTGGTGGTGGGTGGGGGTAGTGGAAAATAGAGGTTAAGGAAACATGGAAGATGGGGTACAGTCTTTGAGGATAGTGTTACCGATGTTGGAGAGCCAAAATCCCGCCATACCGACCACTGTACGGCGCAGTTATAGCGGATTATGGCGGAAAAACTGCAATATCGGCCAATATTTATCATTGCAGCAAGCCAAAAACCGCCATGTATATCCGGCATAGCGCACCATGGACGATATTTGATAACACTGTTGAGGATACATATTTATGTGCCATGTGCTACATCAAACTCTGCACCATCTCAAGTACAAAAGATTCCTCATTTAGGGTGTGTTTGTTTCAAGTTATTTTAAAGAGGGAAGTTAAGACGAAAAAAAGAAAAAAGAAATGGGGAATTTAGCTTGTTTGGTTCATTGAAGAAAGAGAGAAGAGTGACTAAATTTGGTGGGTCAGAGCAACCTTTATCTTACTTCGCTCATATGCGAAGAGAGACAGCAAAGGAGTTTGGAACCCAAATTTATGTATATAATATTTTAATTGTTAAGTTATTTCTATCTCCGAAATGGACCCTTGGGTTCTTGAGGGAATACAAACTCCCTCCTGCAATGACACTCACTTTTTTCCATTTCCACACTTATCTTTTCTCTATTTCTTTTATCTCTTCCTTAAACCAAACAATACCTCAAATCTATCATATTTTTCTTTTCTTTCTCTCTTCTCACACTCTTTCTCACCTCTTTCTCGCCTCACAATTTCTTCTCACAACCAAACCGTATTAGAATCGTCTATTTCTATCACCCAAGCTCCACAGACATAAGATGATCCTTTTTTGCGTCAATTTTGTATCACAATGAACAATGATGTCTTGCATGCCTAATGTTATTATTTTCTCGATTCTCGTTATTCAGCACCAACTCCAATTTCTTCCCCGACCGACTATGTAACAGCCGAACGTTTCTGCTGACCTACCTATTGCACTATGCAATTTAAACATTCTATTCTACTCTCCATTTCCATCCCACTTTTGACTTTTTGAGCTACAATTGATTATCTTTTTCCTCTTGTGCTTTTATTTATTTGTCATCTATTAGCAATGATTCATGAGATGATTGCTTTAGAGTCCAATATGATTAGCTCCTAAAAATATATGATTAGCTGTCGGTGGACGTTTAATATTAAAGTTGACCCTAAGACAGGTGGACTAATTGATGCACACCCCTAATTCACTATTGTGCCACTACACCCGAAGAATGAAGTACGTAAAATCCAATCACCCAAACCAATATATACAAAGAATAAAAACATACCCTGAATGTGTAGCCCGGCTAAAAACAATAGCATCAGCACCCAGTCTCATAGTACTGGTCTTGAATCCATTTCCATCTAGAACAAAACAACATATTCTCATACAATTGTGCAACCACCGTTGCTTAAAGAAACTAACAGAATAAATGCAGTTAGACACTTACACTGTCCAATTGTTGTCTTCGACTTCTTTGAAGAATAACCCAAGCTCATGCACTTCCGTAGTGAGTTGGGATCCATTCCACCACCATCATCTGCGTAGGAAACATAAATTCATTTCCAACAACTATCATATCAGGCCAACATAAATACTATATTAGTAGATACTATGCATGTTTACCGTACCTAGAAAGCATAGCACTGGTGAATTGTCCTTCTTGTTCTTAAGCTTGTCAACCTTAACAAAAGTCGCACCATTTTGGATCTAGTAATGCAAAGGAAAACTCAGTACATCTCTTACTCTACAAATACAGCCACTTCATAATAGCTTTTTTAAAAGTTCCGACATACTGGGGCAGGCCATCATCAGAGGTAAGTTTTGCAAGTTATTTTACAGTTTTAAGCCAAGCAAATAAGAATCTGATATTGTTAATTCAACTAAATATATATTTATGTGCCATTCAAAATTATAAATACATTAAAATTATACTTTAAGATTCCATTTATATTATAATTGTTTTGCTAAAAGTAGAACTCGGTGTTAATTACTCCGAGACTACAACTCAGGATGCTAGTAGCATGCCTTGATATACTAAAACCCAAAGAGGGGTAGAATAGGAAGCTACCCATGGGATTACTTGAAATATCCAACTCCAAGTATATCTCCCAGCAAGGAGGCTACTCTGCTAGCCCCTGCATGCAACGGAAACACCTAGCGTGGAATGATCAACAATCGTGACTACTAGTCAAAGGCGATTCAAAGTTCAAACCAATGCACATAGACGACAAAAAAATTTTAGCTGATCCTCCATCACAAGTGTGTACTCATGCGAGTTTAAAAAGTCATAACATAAAGCCAACTAAGAGAGCACTTACGCAAGCGACAAACATTCAACAATATTTTTTATATTGACTTAAATCATACCTCATCAACAGCATTATCCACTAGCTCAGCAATTGCTGCAAACAATGAGAAATTCTGTCAATAGTTGTCACAGAAGCATTATAAGCTATAAGTTTGTTTTTTTGTGCTTGCCAAACAGATTCTAAGTTACTAACAATTTTGATTACACAAATACAAGTGAGTTAAGAGAAATCGCACCTCCGAAAGCCCACTTATGCGAAGTCGCATTAGAATGAAGAAACTTGGGATGAACTCGTGCATGATCCAAGTAACCTAAAATTGCAATTAGGGCAAAATCAGTATACAAAAAACAACAATTAAATTTGAAAGTAAGCAAAAAAAAAATGTAATGTGAAAGACCTTGACTGGGAGAAGGCTTAGATGTAGGACCAACAACATAATCACCGGCTTTCCAGAAACTATGGCTTTCAGAGACTAATGGAGTTGAAGTTGATTCGGGAGGGTTTTGCTGCTCCTGAAGCCGAAGTGGTAAATGAACGTCGCTCATTACAGCACTAGCGGAGGCGTCGTCGTCGCTGTCGACGTTGAGGACAGGGACGGTGGTTTTCTCTGGTTTGGGAACGACGGACATTGGAGAGGAACGAAGTAGAGTCTGCAAGTGAAAGTTAAAGTTCGACTCTGGTATTTGGCAGGGTTTACTAGTGTGTGCGAAATGGGTGAACAGCTAGTACTATATTTTTTATATAAAAATAAACTCTATTATTATTATTATTATTTTGGGTTAAATATGTTTTTAATTCTTATAAAATTATTAAAAATGGCTTTTAATTCTTATAAAAATAAATTTGATTTTTAGTTTTTATAAAATTATTTTTGCACGTAATTTTAGTCTCTCTACATGAACTAAAACTGCATGCAAAAATAATTTTATAAAGATTAAAATTCGATTTTTTTATATGAATTAAATCAAAATTGAGATATTTAAAGATACTAAAAATATATTTAACTCTATTATTTTTAGGACAATTATAAATTTACTTTTTTTATTCATGCATAATTCAATCATCTTCACCTTGACTTGAAACTGTTGTGATGCAAATTTATTTATTAATCACATTGTTGTTCTCTACTATGTTATAATTATATTTAACATCATTAATCAAGTTCAATACACCTTGAACCTTGGTTTCGCCACTTGTATCAACTTGTTTTCAATCATCTTTTCTTTCTATGTAATCTAACAAGTCTACAAGCATGGTTCTTCAACCATAATTGACTTCACCAGCTTTTGAATGCTTATATGAGGGTCGTTCTTTTTGTATTTTGTAACTCTTCAGCCACATTTAAAGCGTAACACTCAATACTAACATACTTGTCGCTTTGAGGTGTTATAATCTTCATCTAGATATGAGATCCCCTTCTCACTTCCAATCACCACGGTGATACCTACAGCCACAAACTTTGTGACTAGAATAGAAATCAAATAGAATATTACACTTCAAATCAACAATACTTAGTTAAGACTCTCTTAACTAAGAACAATACATTATGTTGCTTAAAAGTTTCATCCAAGAACAATACTCAACTCATTACCTAAAGACTTATGAGTTAGAACACTATGCCTACCACGAGTATCAAAAGATACAAGGGTGACTTACAAACACAAGAACACAAGAGACTCTCAAAATCTAAGACTTGAACTTCCCCTTATTTTACAATTGTGAAAAGTTAAATTACATTAGGTCTAGGTCTTCATTTTTATAGTCTTCAATTGTCCATGGACTTCGAATTCCCTGCTTAAATATTCCTTGATACATATGTTGATTGCTACAGAAAATATCTCCTTAAATCTTAGAACAAATCTTTCAAGATTTCTAAATTATCTCAACAACCAAATTTAGAAACTTTAATGTTGTTGGAGATTTGATTCTCTTGTTCCAGATTAAATCTTCTTGACGTATACTGAGATATATCCAAAAGGAATTTCAGAAAATCAAATCAAATTTTTCAAGATTTAAAACAGCTTGTACTATTGTTCTGGTTCAGGATGTTACGACATCTTGCAGAACATATGTCTTCAGTGTAAGCTCATACTCTGTTGTATCGTTTTGATAAAGATGTTATGGCCTCTTGCTTAACAACTTTCAGGAATCATGTTTTAGCAAAATTATTGTCAATCTTGAAACAATGGATCTAACAAAATCCTTGAGAAAAAACATATTATAAAAAGGCCATCGAGGTGCATGAGACCCATCATGGGACCTACTCATCATCCACCCGACTCAAATCCATGTTTGGATAGAAGAAGGCTACTTGTTCCTTCACCTTCTCAAAGTACTAATCGGAAGTAGCCACCACATCATCCTTGAGTGACGATTCCTCTTTCTCAAGATCTTTTATGGAACCAAGGGTTTTTTTCGAGCAATGCCTTCAAAAAAAACCCTCCTTAACATAGGTGTGTGATTTTAAAGCCACCTCTTTGGCGAGGACTTTTAAATCACCCCGCTCATTTGCCATGGTTGTCATTTCCCTTTGGCACTCTTGAATATGCCATATGACAAAATCAAGCAAATAGTGCAACTCACAAATCTTATGGAGATACTTTTTTGTGACTCTCTTAACCAAGATACATCTCAATATTTGAAATTCTAAAAGTCTCATTAAATAGGAAGAAGATTTGTCATGGATTGATTGGTAATCTATAGGAAAATTCTCTGGAAAAATGAGGTAATGCCTAGTGAACTCAACTGCACTAAAAGAAAGGTTACTCCTCATCAAGGGTCAAGAAGATTGTTCCATTATAACAAGCTTTATACTACCCTTTCCTACCTCGGCGACTGTCGGTACTTCTCTCGAAGGCCCCGGGGGAACATCTCTCATATTTGGCCATTTAAAGGGCGAGCATCGCCATCATGATATGTCTCGCCCTACCTCTTTCTTCCAACCACCAACAAATCTCAAGGGTATTCATGAGAGATGGTCATGGGTCGATGTTTGGCCTACATCAGAACAAAGTGTTCTCTCCTCTCAACGAGAAAATTTTTAGACATTTCCCTTATGAACTAAGGATGTCAAAATGTATAAAGTAGTAAAACAAGGTCAAGTAAGAGGTTTCCTTCATACCATAAAGCTTACCAAGGTACTTCTCTACCTCGTCGCCATCTTCCTGGTCCAAGGTGATTAGAGTACAAGAGCTCTTAAGTTGGAAGCAACTTAACACCTGGATTTCTCTCTCTCTCTCAAGAGGGGAAAGGTTGTTAGTGTTTATTACCTTAATGAGTTAAGGGTTTGCTGTCCATATAAAATAAAGAGAGAGGAATATGTCACCTATGTGTTCACCATAGAAACATTATCTCGCCATCTGACTCGCACAAATCTATCTTTTAAATCCTTATAAGGCTCCGCGTACGTGATGGGTGACTTCCGCAAGTATATGGATTTTATCGGAGTAATATAAAGAATGTAGAACCCACAAAGACCAAATGGTCAATCTAGGATTTTCTATTGCTACAGTGTTTATCTAAGGCGGTCGAAACTTAGGAGTGGAGTGGAAAAATAAAATGAAATAATAAACTAGAAGTAATTCATAAATGCAATATTGGAATTCAAATTTTATTAATTCGTTGATACTCTTCTTGCTTCTAAAAGTACCTACGAGACAACATTTTCTCTTTTGAAAAATAATTAATTAAAAAGGAATTGTCACTATCGTGTATTCAGAACCAAATATTGCACTCCAATTTATACCTGGAGTTATCACATTCCTCAGTTGGTTTTGCTTTAAAGAAGTAAAGACCTTTTTTAGGAATTAGTTTCTTTAGCTCAGACGAAAAGTAATTTTGATTGGAAAATTAAATTTTAAAGGGTTCTCGACTTTCGCTCGAACAATCAGATCTTAAACTTATAAACGCGTCTGAAAGTAGTTTTAAAATAACTTTTCTAAAAATATCAAAATTTCCTAATTAATTAATAAAGTGCTTTCGTGGTGTTTGTTAGTCGAAAACTAAACAATTTTAATCTTTGGTACCAGACGGCTTTCGATCTTACCCGGCATATTCATGATCCTACTCTTATAGTAATCAATCAAATTAAGTTTAGAAAAATTGTAATATAATCAAAACAATCCCATAAGTATTTCTAAAAGAACAACAGTTAGAGTACCGTCAAATCGACCGTCCTAACATTCCAACACTTTAGATTTAGTCAGACATGGTTATAACAAATGATAAAGCAATTGAATTTAACATGGAATTAAACATAACCAGCATAGTAAATAAAACATTAAAACATGAAATTGATAGATAGATGTTGTACCCCAAAATTTTCCCTCCCTCAGGAATTCATCCAGAACTCTCAGATTTTCTCTTAAACAAAGTCAAGCCCTTTATTATCATTCCTTTCCAAGTAAACAATTTACAAGAACAAAGTATTCATTTGCAAGCTTAAAAGGCAAAATGTTTGCCTTGGAAAAGTTAAATTCTAAATGCTTAGAATTTTCTCTAAAAAAATGGGGGGTTTAAGAAGAAAATGACACTTCAGAACTTCTGAACCAACCTCCAGGCAGGAACAGTCAGAAGTTGTAAACTTGGCTCAGCACATAACATTCAGTCAGAACATGGCTCTTTCAGCAGTTATGCAAAGTTCAGTTAGAGTTTGTTAGAGAAGTGTAAAGAAGGCAACAAAGCCTGAAACTCCTTCAGAACGTACTGGGATCAAAAGATAATGGGATCAGCAGATTGGGTAAAATACTGAAGCAGGATCACTAAGTCCAGAGTCTTCAAAAGCAGATCAAAGGAGTATACTGGAAAACTCTCAGAACTTGCTGAGACAACAAGAGGCCAAGGTCAGAGCTTGGTTTACGTTGTTTTTGGTGAAGCAGAACTGCTGGCTCAGGTTGTAGGTAATGATGCTAAATCTCCTATTACAAGATTTTTTTATGTTGATAAATCTCATCACCATTTAATGCTCATTAATGCTCACAACCACTCCTGAGCATTCATCCAAAGGGTCTCTCCACGTGTGGCTTGTTGAACACCTTTGTGCAGGTTTAGGCATGGGTTATGCGCCACTTTTCGCCTATAGGTGTCACTTCTCCTCAATCCTTGCTTACTGTTCCAGCCTAGGCTGAAAAGCTGTCCATCATCATAACTTTTCATGAACTTCCTTCAAAAACAAGTTAACCTCTACTGCATAGTATTGGCGCCATTTAACGTTCAAAATTCCACAAAACCTTGCCTATAAATAGGACACCATTGTCCATCACAAAGGAGGTGAGAAAAACATCCAGAAAAAATTGCTAGGGGAGAAACAGAAAACTCCAGTAAGAAAAAAAACCTTGTGAATCTTTGTCAAAAAATCCCAGGTATTTTCACAAACTTCGAGCCTCCTGCCTCCAAACTTCATTAATACCCAGTTTGCTTTGTGACCAAAGAACACCCATACAGTTTCTGACCATACATACACATAATTTTTCCATCCACCCATCCTAAAAAAAAGAGAACCTGTCCATAACACCATCAGAGCTAAAGCTAGCTCCCACTCACAGATTTTTTCAACAGCCAGGTAAGCACCTGCTGACTTTCATCACGCTGTTAAAAATCACCAGCTTTGCATGCTTAATAAACACAATGT